GATTTTTGAAGGATGTGACACTGAAGACTGGAGTAACGATGCTGAAAACACAGCTTTGATCACAGCAATAAGTTACATTTGAACATATATTACAATATAAAATCATAATTTTTAATTGCAATAATATTTCACAATTATATCACAAAATTATGAAACATTTGACCAATCCCATAATTTTGCAGGGTAGTATAAAGTTACATTACATACTGGTAAAAAATGTATAGCCTGAATGCACTGTAAGTCGCTTTGGATAAAAGCGTCTGCTAAATGCATAAATTATTATTATTATTAATTAATTAGTATAGATATTGCCCTTGTGCACAACATTTGTAAAACTTGCTTGCAAGACCTACTGATTTCATTTGAGTAAATTGTTCATTTGAATCATGTATTTTCAATGAATCAGTCAAACTGGTTAAAAAAAAATGGTGTGAATGTTTCAAAAAAATTCAAAAGTGGCAACTCTAAAAATATACTGTACATTACACAGTGCATACATTTGCAGAAGAAGTCGATCACATTTAACAGAATTAGCTTAAAATCACTTTACCATGATTCATGTTGCAAATTGTAACCACCTTTAGCTAACTTTTCTTTTTCTCTGTCTCTGTAGATCCTGCTCTGGATGACTTTTTGCTTATGCACTGTGTTTTTGTCCCAAACAGTCAGCTGTGTCCTCTGCTCATGGCCCAATATCCTTTACAGCTGTGCTGACTGATTGGTGAAATATATAACCGAAGTCTCTGTAGTTCATCAGCTCGGTACAAATGGTCAATGTGCCATAGCTGTGTCCTTTACGAATATTGTTTTATTCAACAAATGAGAAGGTCGCTAAACTCTCAGATCGTGTGTGGCTCTGAAGTCCTTAGCGCTCGTTCACCTATCACGCTCAGCCGTCTCAGGGCAGTGAACAGGAGCGGATGGATTACTCTCTCAATAACAAGCGCAGGGTGATTCGTCTGGTCTTACAGTGGGCCGCCATCAACACAGACCACCTGCAGGAGGAGGACAGCTCTTTCAACTTCCTCCAGGTCAGCAGCTCTGATCCGCTCAGCCGTGTTAGCTGATTCAAGTTAACCAGTTCACAAAGCTTTGCTGTTTGTTGCAGGAGTTTTATGAGACAGTGTGTGAAGATTCCAGACTCATTCCAGCTCTGAAAGACCAGCTGCCCGAACTAGAGAAGATCATCAAGCAGAAGTACGAGCACAGTTTTACAACCCTGTTTATCCTGACATATGAAATAATAGTCAGAAACATCTCTTCTTTTTTTTTAAACAGAACAATTTATTGAACCTTAAAATCTGGGTATCATATTTGATAAATCAGGCTTTTGTTGCTCATATAGTATGGTACAGTGATAATATGAAGCTCATACTAGAGATGAAAACACCTCAGTTTTATTCAGAGGCCCTGAGAGCAAAATATGCTATTTGGTGCAAATGCTGATTCATATGGCCAAAAAGAAAGATGAAATTCCGGTAGTTTGTAATGTAAATCAGTGAGAGCTTTATAATAGTACTGCAGACTACTTACATAATATGTATATAAATTAGTGCTGTCAAACGATTAATCATATCCTAAATAAAAGTTTTTGTTTACATAATATATGTGTCATGATCTCCAGCTGGAGTGCCCATGAGCTCCTCTAGAGGGCACTCCATTCTGTACCTTGCCATTCACTCAGGACTCCATTTCCCATAATCCTTTGCCCGGACTCATCAAGTGCATCACCTGTCTCTCATGAGGGTCCATATATACTGTATATTTGGACACTGATACATTTTTCATAATTCCAGCTCTGTATGCCACCAGAACAGAATGAAAAATAAACAATCAAGATGAAATTGAAAGTGCAGACTTTAAGCTATTCAAGGGGTTGAGCAAAAAATATAACATAAAATGCTTAGGAATTATAACCACTTTTATACACAGTATAATACAAATGTAATTGGACAAATAAATATAATCATAAATAAAATGTTCATTTTTAATATTTTGTTGAGAATCTGCAGTTCGTTCATTTGTATTATGAAGCGCCGTCCAATCAGCTTTGCTGCATTTGACTGAATCTGGGCAGAGAGTATGTCTCTATACACTTCTGCAGAGTTCATCCGGCTGCTTCTGTCTTCTGTCTCGTCATCACTGAACACCAGTAACCCAGAGCCACTGAAGCCATGCACGCTCATGCATCACACTGCTCCATGTTTCTCAGATGATGTGTGTGCTTTGGATCATGAGCTGTTCCAAGCCTTCTCCA